GTAGTTATGCCTTGCTTGATTTATGGAGTGAGGAATCTTGTAGAGCAGCGTTTCGGCAGCACCACGTTACGTTTCTACTCTCGTCAATACGTAGTAGTAGAATTCCAGGCTTTGAAAAGCGTAATTGCATTGATTGAAAATGAACAAGTACAAGCACGCATTTATATAAAAGTCCGAAACACACAAAGGAAAACATAAAGCAGTTGCTTAACTGGAATCCAGGGCCTCGCCTTGCTGTATTAGAAAACAATTGTGAAACTGCTGAAGAATTTGGCTCAATCTGCCTCATTAGAATTAAGTGTAACCCACTTGAATTGAAACCAAACTCCCCTGCTGATTCACGTCATTAACTTCCACGAGTTCTTATGAGGAATCATGGATACTCGTGTGGGAAACCGTTTTCTAGTTTTAAAACGGATTTTACCGTTGGTAAAACGGTATTTACCGTTTTGTACCTGCGTCGAAATGATCACGCTAAGCAGCGTGACTTTCGCGCGGAGCCTGCTGTTTCCAAGTCAGCGCGGGATACGGTTGGTCAACCGTAATCACGAGGCACCCTCGGTCAAGCAGGAAAAGACGATCGCTGACGCGATCGTGCTTTGTCCTGCGCGTGACAGGGTCCTGTCATGTTGCGATCGTGCAACTGTGCACGGTCGCAACAGTTGCGACACACGCGCGGGCCCTGAGGGGCCACACGCGCATGTCAGGACCCCACGCGCGGGTCCTGACTTTCGCGCACTTTTTGACCAGAGCGAAATTGGTCAAAGGGCCGAGTCAAGAAAAGACTCGAGGCACACTCCCCCGACACACTCAACTCTCGCCATGAGCGCACATGAAAATTCGGGAACTTTCATGAGCATTCATGACGCTCGGAACTTTCATGAACGCTCACGGTTGTTCATGAAAATTAGCGAACCAACATGAGTCGTCATGAGAATTTATGACTCGTCATGATCCGTCATGACTTGTCATGTGCCCCCAACGAAAACACATGAAACAGGATGCAGAAACAAATGCACACAGAACATACACAAAATGCGGGACTTCATGCAGGCGGCTGGTTGACGTGCAAAATTAAGATTTGCACCCAACAAATTTCAGCGTTATTATGAAATTCCAGGGCAAACTTAAAACACCATCCTGAAATCAGGGTAATCAGGGTGTTTTGCCCTGATATCGTGGGCCCTGCCTTGTACCGCATTGTAATAGTCACTTCTGTCGAGATTCAAATCTCCTTCTTCTGACAGAGTCCGTACCCGACATTACCTGCAATCTTCCGCTGCTACACTCCGTGCGATCAACCTGAGACGATCCTATAAGACGGTTCAGATTGTATCACCCTACGATATTAAGAAATTTTTCCTAAAATTCCTTATTTTCAGGAATTTTTTTTTGTACCTACCCTGATTTTCAGTACTCGGCTTTTTGTCGGACTGATTTTCCAGCCTTTTCCTGCTAGATTACTCTGAACTTTTAGGACACTAATTTCACTACGTTGTACCAGAACTTACACTGAATGTGATTTCTACACATTCCGAGTGTAGTTGCCCGGAAGTACAGAGAATTTCATATTCCCGCGTTGTCAGCACTGCCTGGCGGTGACTACGAGACAAATTTGCCCCGTGTTTTTTCACTCGCGGGGGGTTTCCTCGAGTTCCTGCCTGGTGTACCAAGAGGCAGGCATCCGTGTGGTTTAGTATAAACAGCTTTTTTTCTTAAGGAACACTGATGCTTCAGGGTTTTTTTTTTAAGTGACACTGATTTTTCAGGTTTATTTTCTATATGACACTGTCAATCAGGGATTCCACGTAGAGGGACCCTGATCCCTCGAAGTAAATCTGAGGGCCTGGCTAACTCGGTTGAAATTTGAAATCCGATACCGTTTTAATCATAATTGAACAATAGATTTATACATGCGCTTATAATAAATCAGGGTTTTACAGGGGGGCGCTTAAAATCGAGTTCCGGCCACAAGTGCCATGCTCCAGATAGAAGCGCCGGCGCCTTTAATCGGACGGCGCCTATATCCGGGGCCATACGGTACAAGTTATAGGAAAAGGGAGGTGGTGAAGGGAGGTAGACCACCTAACGACAAGATAGGGTGGGGCGAACATCATCGATGGCATGTGGATTTTTAGGGTGAAGCGGCTGCCGGGTTCTCCGCCTGTCTTCAAGGCTCGTTACGTTGCACGAGGCTTCAGTCAGCGACAGGGAGTTGACTTCTCCCAGACCTTCTCCCCCACCCCGAAGATGACCACTCTACGGGTGCTGCTGCACGTTGCCGCTTAGCGTGACTACGAGCTTCACTCTTTTGACTTCAGCACAGCGTTCTTACAGGGCAGTCTGCACGAGGAGATCTGGCTGCGCCGCCCACCTGGCTTCACTGCGTCGTTCCCTCCTGGTACCCAGTGGAGCCTCCGTCGGCCAGTCTACGGTCTCCGTCAGGCGCCTCGTGAGTGGCACGACACACTGAGGACGACACTTGCGGCTCTTGGGTTTGCCCCTTCCACTGCTGACCCGTCGCTGTTTCTACGCACCGACACTTCACTGCCGCCGTTCTACATCCTCGTGTACATCGACGACTTGGTCTTTGCCACTGCTGACTCTGAGGCTCTCACCCTTGTGAAGTCGGAGCTGTAGAAGAGACACACGTGCAGAGACCTGGGTGAGCTGCGCAGTTACCTTGGCTTGCACATCACCCGGGACAAAGCACGCCGCACCATCACCCTGACTTCGTCACACATGGTGCAGCATGTCCTTCAGCGCTTCGGCTTCACTTGGTCCCCGCCACAGTCCACTCCTCTGGCTACAGGTCACTCGCTCTCAGCTCCACCTTCGGACGAGTCCGTAGAGCCGAGTGGCCCGTACCCAGAGCTAGTGGGCTGCCTCATGTGATGACCTGCGCTCGTCCTGACCTTGCATACCCTCTTGGCGTTCTGGCAAGCTACGTGGATCCTGGTAGGCACCGAAAGGTGCACTTGGATGCTGCGAAGAGGGTACTGCGCTACTTGTGCAGTACATCGGGCATGGGGCTCGTGCTTGGAGGGCGGAGCTCAATTGTCCTAACTGGACACTCAGACGCTTCTTCGGTTGACGACTAGAGCTACGCAGCGGTCATCAATGGGTTACACTTTCAGCCTTGGTTGCGGCTCTGTTTCTTGGCGGTCTACCCGCTCGTAATCTGTTCTCAGCTCCAGTTGTGAGGCTGAGATCTACGCTACAGCCATGGCTGCACAGGAGTTACACTGGCTCACCTACCTGCTGACTGGCTTGGGAGAGCGGCCTCTTTCTCCTCCAGTTCTGTACGTGGACAACAAGGCCGCCATTGCCTTGTGTCAGGAGCACAGACTGGAGCACGGAACGAAGCACATCACTTTACATTACTTCCTGGCTCGAGAGTTGCAGCAGCGTGGTCAGTTTCGTCTTGCTCACGTGGCCACTCGGGCCAATACTGCTGATATATTCACCAAGGCACTTCCGTCTGGTGATCATCAGCGCTTCTATACTATGTTAGGCCTTGTGCCTGTTTCGTCTCACTTGCTCACTTCGTGACTTCGCTTGTACTGTGATCAATATATACCTGCATGCTTGCTCTTGCTAGGTATTGATCACTATACTGTTGTTGTTGCATATATACCTCTGCATGTGACCTGGCCTTGTGGCCCTTTGCTTGTGCTCGAGTGTGTGGTGACGTTGTGATCCACCCCGAGCTTGCTTTGCTTTTCTTGACTGGTCTTGTGACCCCTTGTTTTCCCCCACTTTACCTATGGGGGTGTGTCAAACCATATATGTGTTAGTTCTGTGTAGGCTATAGTGGGGTAGCCCATATGGGGTACAACCCGAAGTTAGGGTTAGTACTTGTACCCACATTTCATTCAATGCAATAATTCCTGCTTGCTATCTTGACAAGTACTACACTACTAGCTAGACATGCAATTAAAAAAGAACATATTCTGACAGTACCGTATGTGGAGTGGCACAGGTTACTACCGTATACTGACCAGGTCCCCAAGTTGGTTGATAGCTATTTTTGTACACTTCTGAGGATACCGTATTCTCGCGGACAAAACACCCCCCCATAATTGTACACCCCCGGGTAGCTTGTGCGGGGTGGGTGTTATGATAGACCTCGTTTCTACTATACCCCCCTTTTTGGCTGATTTTCTATAACACCCCCCTCCTCTTACGGATTCATTATTTTAGTCGTTAACGAGTAGCTGCAATACGGAAGAATATCGCGTGAATTTCTCCCTCGATGAAATTTCGCGGTACATTCAAATGCAATCTGCTGAGATCTGCCCCCTCCCACTATTTCGCTGTCGCCACGTGCAGTGCAGGTGAATCTTCCACTGCAAGTGGCAAGAGATGTGCCACATGGCATTTTCGTGGGGGTGATGAAGTTCGAGGCCAAAACTCGCATTCGCTCGCGCCTCAGGCAGTGATGTTAAAATGACCAGCAAAACACCCACATTGACTAATTAAAAAAACACTAACACTAAAATATGCCATATGTAAAGACCCCGGTATTATGTATTTTTTTCCTATGAGGAGACCCCCCCCATTTTTTCCCTGTATTTTTAGCTATACCCTAGGGTGTTATGTCCGGGAGAATACGGTAAACCAAACCAAACAACGCTTGCCAGATTGTGGTGGCTGGCTGTGGTTAATACCAGTAACAACTTTCAGACTGCACTCGAATACAAACTCGCACAGAAGCCCCACATGTACAAAAGCGAAGGGACTTCCGAATGGGCTCAATGAGGAGGCTTAGCACTGGGTCCATCGACCACCACTGCTTGCATCGGATTGAAAGCTAGGTGGGCAATACTGGGACAGGAACTGTTGAAGGAAAACAGGGTGCCGTGTAGCGCACACCAACATGGGCACAACCAAGATGCCACCATAATAAATGGACTCGTGCACTCTCCTTCCCATTACCACCTCTGGAGGAGGTAGCGTGGCATGTAGTACAGATAACGTGTGAGTCGCTCAAAAGGCCACTACCGCTGCGAGTGGGAGTAATGCCCGCGGTAATCCCCCCCTCCCCCTCCCCCTCCTCCTCCCCCTCTGTAAGAAGGATGGTGCGGCGACGACCCTCCACTCCCCCCGCCACCGCCCCTCTCCCCCGCCGGCCCTTCACCATGGGGGTATGGCGGGTGCGGGGCAGGCATGGCGTGTGACGAGCGGTTGTACTGCGCATCCACATCCACGTACCCCGCCTGGCGGAACGACGGCAGAGTGCACACGTGCAGGCAGGAAGGGGGGGGGCAGGGGTGAGGTCGAGGCAAGGAAGGACGAGGGGTGGGAGAGGGGTTTAGCGGTTGTACTGCGCATCCACATCTACGTACCCCGCCTGCATGCACGAGTCGGGGGGAAAGGGGGGGGAAAAAGAGCAAGGACGGTCTTGAAGGGGGGGAAGAGGGGGGAGAGGGGGGAGAGGGGGGAGAGGGGAAGGAAGCGGATGAGCGGTTGTAGTGTGCGACGACAGCCACATGCTACGCCTGGATGGACTAGCTGGGAGGGTGGGGTAGGAGAAGGGTAGAGGGGCAGGGGGAGAAGAACTAAAGAGCGGGCAGGAGGGAAGCAGACGAAAGGAATGATGGAAGGAGCAGCGTCAAATTGGAGGGCAGAGAGCAGACGTGCAGGCACGGATTTTGAGGCGCCTCAACAGATGTGCATGCGTGCACTGGCATGCAGAGCTGGCCAGTGCGTCACATCCACGTGCCCAGCCTGGACCGATGGTTGGCGGCAGCGGAGTGAGAGGGGGAGGGACGCTTTATGAGGGAGAAGGATGCAAGGGGGTGGACACGATTGCAAGAATCGATGAAAAGTAGCGCGCAGAGCACATGCACAATCACGATGCTACATGTGTTCAATGTCTCTATTCTATTATCCCGCACACAGTATTCAAGTCTATCTTGGGTGCACGACTGGGGTTTACCATTCTACTTTAATCCGAAGTTAAGTTCCAAGCTTGGGCAGGTTCTTTAGCACCCAAATGGAGCCAGGTTGCAGTCTTGGCTCCAATTGTCCACGATGATTGGCCCACACAGTACTCATGTCAGCCACACATGTTGGCATGATCACATGATTATACTGGCGAGCACCGAATCACTTTGTCAAGAACCCAATCAACCCAACATCCTCACCGCTATTACGTAAGCTTACAGTATTCTAGTCAAACCAACAATGACTTTCAAACCTTATCCCACCCAACGGGATTCTCACAACGCGCACAACCACGATGCCCCATGCACAATGGACTTGTAACAGCATCTCACCGCGGGTGGGTACGGCAGTGGTCTGCTGCCCGATGAACCGGCCGCAGCCCTGAGAGGCGGTGCCGGAGAAGAGCGCATGCGCGGGGGACAGGAGGGGATGAATGAATGTAAGCAAAGTGGATGGGGGGGACGGGAGGGGATGGGGGGAAGCGGTGGGAATAAGGTGAAGTGAGGGGAAAGGGAGGAGATGAGGGAAACCAGAGGGGATGGCGGAAGGGCAGGGGCGAGCAAGGAGAGAGACAGACTAAAACTTGGGGGTGGGGAAGTGGATAGGAGGCGATATGGGAAACTCGAAAGAAAGCTCCATACAGTAATTGCGACAGGGCAATGAATGGGATACACAATGATGTGTGGATAGGTGGAGAACGATGTGTGTGCTCCAGCATGTGCTCGTTTCGTTGGTGATACATTTTGTGATACATATGGTTCAGCCATGGCTACTCGCCTGTTGTGACCTTCCTCACACTGCCTCACACACATTCATGCTGACCTCCATTGCATCACCCATGCCGCATCACATTCACCCATGCCGCATCACACTCACCCATGCCGCATCACACTCACCCATGCCCCATCACACTCACCCATGCCCCCCTGGTCGATTGGCACTCCCTCCGCCTCCACTCCCTCCTCCTCTTCCCCCATACCCCCCTCCTCCCCCATAAGCTTGCCCTTGCCTCCCCCCTCCGCCACTCCCATACCCTCCTCCCCCGCCCCCTCCATAACCCCCTCCCCCTGACGCCCCTCCCCCTCCCCCTCCAGGCATCCGCTCCTGTCCATAATGCCCCCCCCCAACCCCCCCTTGCCTCCCCCCTGTCCCTCCCCCTCCCCCTCCCCCCTGCGGCATTCTCCCCCCAGCTGCCCCCCGCATATACCCGCCACCTCCTGCGCCCCCTCCCCCTGCTCCCCCCCTGGGCGGAAGCAGAGAGGAGGATTGGCGCCCATGGGGGTGGGGGGGGAGCCCGCTTCCCCCTGGCCCTCCCCCTCCTCCTCCCCCCCCTGCGCGCTGCCGCTTTGCCATCTCCTCTGCCTGCTGCCGCTGCTGCTGCCGTCTTTTCTTGGTCTGAAACTCGTGGGACGACTCGTACTGCGGCAGGCTGTAAAGGGTATGGCAGCGGAAAAGGGGAGGCAAGGAGGGTTGGGAGCGGAAAAGGGGAGGCAAGGAGGGTTGGGAGCGGAAAGGGGAGGCAAGGAGGGTTGGGAGCGGGAAAGGACGGGGAGAGTGGGTGGAAGGGTGTTGGGCTGAAACATGACAGACGACTCGTACTGAGGCAGGGTGAGTGTGTACGGGTATGGCAGGGTGTTAGTGCATGGCAGGGGGCGTTGAGACGGAGGGGGAGGGAAAGGAGCACCCGTGCGCGGATAGCATGGCAACGCACCTGCCCGGGTCGCAGGGAAGAGGGTCGACCCAGAAGTACTCCGCATCAAGGGCGTCCTTGGCTGACAGCCGCTGCACGCCGCCACGCATGGCGGGGCGTGGAGTGTGATGCGGTGACATGGACGGGGGAGAACGTCGAGGAGGGGGGGGGGAGGGGGAAGGGGGGAGGATGAGGACCGCGGGGGGAAGATGAGGACCGGGGGGGGAAGAAAATGAAATGATATGGCAGATGCGATTGAGGAGCGTCCACCCAGTATGAGGTATGACTTGGTTGGCTGTTCATCGCTGGAGTAGGGGCGGAATAACGGCGGAGACAACAGAGAAGCCAGCCACATGACATGGTATGCATTCTCACATCACATGAGCTGAGTTTCTTAACAACACCCGCTCAACAAGTGCTGATTATTAAGTGCTGCTTAACTAATAGCAGGGCTTGTAAAAGACCCGCGTGAGCATATTGTCAATGTCGTTTTATGTCAAACAGCCTAATGGTTTGAAGAACGTGGAAAAGAGGAAGTGGTAGAAGCAGAGTGGTGGCGGCGGGGCACGCACCTTGTTGGGGTCGAGTGTGAGCATCTTGTCCAGCAGGTCCAGCGCGTGCTTGTCCACACTGCCGCCCCCGCCATGGGGCGCACCGAGGGCAGGGGGACGGGGAGGGGACGACAAGGGTGGGACGGACAGGGGAAGGGAAGGAAGGGAGGACAGGGTAAGGAAGGACAGGGTAAGGAAGGAGCGGAGGGAAGGAAAAGGGATGGAGTGTGAGAATGTTGTTGAGCAGGCCGAGAAGCTTGTGCACCGCACAGAGAGGGGGCGGGTAAGGGAAGGGGACGACAGAGGGCATGCGGGCGCTGGTACGAGGAGAGGGAAGCAATCTGGCGAGAGAGACAAGGATGTACATACTCTCCCATGCTGTCTCCCCTGCACTGCAGTGCACGTACTTTCTGAAGATGTCTCGCACGCGGCGCTTGAGCACGCGGTCGCTCTTGTGCTGCTGCATGTACGGCAGCTTGGAGCACCCCGGCCAGTTGCTCTCGTCCGGTGTGCCGCAGAGCTGGAAGATGAGCCCCAGCTGCTCTATCTGGTGGCTCACACGCATGCACACATGAGGGGGTCAGGAGTGGAGGCATGTGGGGGCTGTGCGTGGAATGGCAGCTTGGACTTGGAGCACCCCAGCCTGTTGCTGTCGTGCGGTGTGGAGGACGAGACTCAGTTGCTCTATCTGGTGCCATACTGTACGAGTATCCAATGCGAGTTGAATACTGCGTTACTCACTTTCGCGCCACCCCTGGTGGTAACCAGTAACCAGCAACCTCACCAGTAGTGGTGGTGAGCAAAGCAGCAAGGAGTGAGTGAGCGCACCTCGCTCTTGCCTGGCAGGATGGGCTTGCCGATGAGCAGCTCTGCGAATATGCACCCCACTGACCACATGTCCACTGCCGGCCCGTACCGCACTGCACCCATCAGCAACTCCGGCGGTCTGTGTGAGAGAGTAAAGGGGGACGGGTGGGTGGAGGGAGGGAGTGGAAGGAGTGGAGTGGTGAAGAGGAGGGGCAAGCGGACTGTGTGGGGATGCTGGGTGGTGCCCAGCAGCTGTACTGTGCTGTGCCGAGAGGAATATCAGAATGCATGCAGCAAGCAACCCAAGTGAGAGAGTCCAGTAGCCAAAAGTTTCTCGTGGGTCTAGAGGTGTCATAGCACAGTGCCACGGGTACCAGGGGCCACCGGAATAACTTTTGAGTCGACTCAGAAGTCACCTTGATAGCAGTGGCGACCAGAGCAAGGAAGCACATTGGCAAGGTGCGTGACCTGGGTGGAAGATGCGATGCCAGCCACATTGCCATATTGTTTATCGGTCATCCGCACCGCATAACCTATATGCTGTACCTAATCACCACCACCCGCGGCAGCAGGCACAGGAATATAACGAGCAGCAGGCACAGGAATATAACGAGCAGCAGGCACAGGAATATAACGAGCAGCAGGCACAGGAATATAACGAGCAGCAGGCACAGGAATATAACGAGCAGCAGGCACAGGAATATAACGAGCAGCAGGCACAGGAATACAACGAGCAGCAGGCACAGGAATATAACGAGCAGCAGGCACAGGAATATAACGAGCAGCAGGCACAGGAATACAACGAGCAGCAGGCACAGGAATATAACGAGCAGCAGGCACAGGAATATAACGAGCAGCAGGCACAGGAATATAACGAGCAGCAGGCACAGGAATATAACGAGCAGCAGGCACAGGAATCTAACGAGCAGCAGGCACAGGAATATAACGAGCAGCAGGCACAGGAATATAACGAGCAGCAGGCACAGGAATATAACGAGCAGCAGGCACAGGAATATAACGAGCAGCAGGCACAGGAATATAACGAGCAGCAGGCACAGGAATATAACGAGCAGCAGGCACAGGAATCTAACGAGCAGCAGGCACAGGAATATAACGAGCAGCAGGCACAGGAATATAACGAGCAGCAGGCACAGGAATATAACGAGCAGCAGGCACAGGAATCTAACGAGCAGCAGGCACAGGAATCTAACGAGCAGCAGGCACAGGAATATAACGAGCAGCAGGCACAGGAATATAACGAGCAGCAGGCACAGGAATATAACGAGCAGCAGGCACAGGAATATAACGAGCAGCAGGCACAGGAATATAACGAGCAGCAGGCACAGGAATATAACGAGCAGCAGGCACAGGAATATAACGAGCAGCAGGCACAGGAATATAACGAGCAGCAGGCACAGGAATATAACGAGCAGCAGGCACAGGAATATAACGAGCAGCAGGCACAGGAATATAACGAGCAGCAGGCACAGGAATCTAACGAGCAGCAGGCACAGGAATCTAACGAGCAGCAGGCACAGGAATATAACGAGCAGCAGACACAGGAATATAACGAGCAGCAGGCACAGGAATATAACGAGCAGCAGGCACAGGAATATAACGAGCAGCAGGCACAGGAATATAACGAGCAGCAGGCACAGGAATATAACGAGCAGCAGGCACAGGAATATAACGAGCAGCAGGCACAGGAATATAACGAGCAGCAGGCACAGGAATATAACGAGCAGCAGGCACAGGAATCTAACGAGCAGCAGGCACAGGAATCTAACGAGCAGCAGGCACAGGAATATAACGAGCAGCAGGCACAGGAATATAACGAGCAGCAGGCACAGGAATATAACGAGCAGCAGGCACAGGAATATAACGAGCAGCAGGCACAGGAATATAACGAGCAGCAGGCACAGGAATATAACGAGCAGCAGGCACAGGAATATAACGAGCAGCAGGCACAGGAATATAACGAGCAGCAGGCACAGGAATATAACGAGCAGCAGGCACAGGAATATAACGAGCAGCAGGCACAGGAATATAACGAGCAGCAGGCACAGGAATCTAACGAGCAGCAGGCACAGGAATCTAATGAGGAATATAACGAGCAGCAGGCACGGGAATATAACGAGCAGCAGGCACAGGAATATAACGAGCAGCAGGCACAGGAATCTAACGAGCAGCAGGCACAGGAATATAACGAGCAGCAGGCACAGGAATATAACGAGCAGCAGGCACAGGAATCTAACGAGCAGCAGGCACAGGAATATAACGAGCAGCAGGCACAGGAATCTAACGAGCAGCAGGCACAGGAATCTAACGAGCAGCAGGCACAGGAATATAACGAGCAGCAGGCACAGGAATATAACGAGCAGCAGGCACAGGAATATAACGAGCAGCAGGCACAGGAATATAACGAGCAGCAGGCACAGGAATATAACGAGCAGCAGGCACAGGAATATAACGAGCAGCAGGCACAGGAATATAACGAGCAGCAGGCACAGGAATATAACGAGCAGCAGGCACAGGAATATAACGAGCAGCAGGCACAGGAATATAACGAGCAGCAGGCACAGGAATATAACGAGCAGCAGGCACAGGAATCTAACGAGCAGCAGGCACAGGAATCTAACGAGCAGCAGGCACAGGAATATAACGAGCAGCAGACACAGGAATATAACGAGCAGCAGGCACAGGAATATAACGAGCAGCAGGCACAGGAATATAACGAGCAGCAGGCACAGGAATATAACGAGCAGCAGGCACAGGAATATAACGAGCAGCAGGCACAGGAATATAACGAGCAGCAGGCACAGGAATATAACGAGCAGCAGGCACAGGAATATAACGAGCAGCAGGCACAGGAATATAACGAGCAGCAGGCACAGGAATCTAACGAGCAGCAGGCACAGGAATCTAACGAGCAGCAGGCACAGGAATATAACGAGCAGCAGGCACAGGAATATAACGAGCAGCAGGCACAGGAATCTAACGAGCAGCAGGCACAGGAATCTAATGAGGAATATAACGAGCAGCAGGCACGGGAATATAACGAGCAGCAGGCACAGGAATATAACGAGCAGCAGGCACAGGAATCTAACGAGCAGCAGGCACAGGAATATAACGAGCAGCAGGCACAGGAATATAACGAGCAGCAGGCACAGGAATCTAACGAGCAGCAGGCACAGGAATATAACGAGCAGCAGGCACAGGAATATAACGAGCAGCAGGCACAGGAATATAACGAGCAGCAGGCACAGGAATCTAACGAGCAGCAGGCACAGGAATCTAACGAGCAGCAGGCACAGGAATATAACGAGCAGCAGGCACAGGAATATAACGAGCAGCAGGCACAGGAATATAACGAGCAGCAGGCACAGGAATCTAACGAGCAGCAGGCACAGGAATCTAACGAGCAGCAGGCACAGGAATATAACGAGCAGCAGACACAGGAATATAACGAGCAGCAGGCACAGGAATATAACGAGCAGCAGGCACAGGAATATAACGAGCAGCAGGCACAGGAATATAACGAGCAGCAGGCACAGGAATATAACGAGCAGCAGGCACAGGAATATAACGAGCAGCAGGCACAGGAATATAACGAGCAGCAGGCACAGGAATATAACGAGCAGCAGGCACAGGAATATAACGAGCAGCAGGCACAGGAATCTAACGAGCAGCAGGCACAGGAATCTAACGAGCAGCAGGCACAGGAATATAACGAGCAGCAGGCACAGGAATATAACGAGCAGCAGGCACAGGAATATAACGAGCAGCAGGCACAGGAATATAACGAGCAGCAGGCACAGGAATATAACGAGCAGCAGGCACAGGAATATAACGAGCAGCAGGCACAGGAATATAACGAGCAGCAGGCACAGGAATATAACGAGCAGCAGGCACAGGAATATAACGAGCAGCAGGCACAGGAATCTAACGAGCAGCAGGCACAGGAATCTAATGAGGAATATAACGAGCAGCAGGCACGGGAATATAACGAGCAGCAGGCACAGGAATATAACGAGCAGCAGGCACAGGAATCTAACGAGCAGCAGGCACAGGAATATAACGAGCAGCAGGCACAGGAATATAACGAGCAGCAGGCACAGGAATCTAACGAGCAGCAGGCACAGGAATATAACGAGCAGCAGGCACAGGAATATAACGAGCAGCAGGCACAGGAATATAACGAGCAGCAGGCACAGGAATATAACGAGCAGCAGGCACAGGAATCTAACGAGCAGCAGGCACAGGAATCTAACGAGCAGCAGGCACAGGAATATAACGAGCAGCAGGCACAGGAATATAACGAGCAGCAGGCACAGGAATCTAACGAGCAGCAGGCACAGGAATATAACGAGCAGCAGGCACAGGAATATAACGAGCAGCAGGCACAGGAATATAACGAGCAGCAGGCACAGGAATATAACGAGCAGCAGGCACAGGAATCTAACGAGCAGCAGGCACAGGAATATAACGAGCAGCAGGCACAGGAATATAACGAGCAGCAGGCACAGGAATATAACGAGCAGCAGGCACAGGAATATAACGAGCAGCAGGCACAGGAATATAACGAGCAGCAGGCACAGGAATATAACGAGCAGCAGGCACAGGAATATAACGAGCAGCAGGCACAGGAATACAACGAGCAGCAGGCACAGGAATATAACGAGCAGCAGGCACAGGAATATAACGAGCAGCAGGCACAGGAATCTAACGAGCAGCAGGCACAGGAATATAACGAGCAGCAGGCAGAGGAATCTAACGAGCAGCAGGCACAGGAATATAACGAGCAGCAGGCACAGGAATCTAACGAGCAGCAGGCACAGGAATATAACGAGCAGCAGGCACAGGAATATAACGAGCAGCAGGCACAGGAATATAACGAGCAGCAGGCACAGGAATATAACGAGCAGCAGGCACAGGAATATAACGAGCAGCAGGCACAGGAATATAACGAGCAGCAGGCACAGGAATATAACGAGCAGCAGGCACAGGAATATAACGAGCAGCAGGCACAGGAATATAACGAGCAGCAGGCACAGGAATATAACGAGCAGCAGGCACAGGAATATAACGAGCAGCAGGCACAGGAATCTAACGAGCAGCAGGCACAGGAATCTAATGAGGAATATAACGAGCAGCAGGCACAGGAATATAACGAGCAGCAGGCACAGGAATATAACGAGCAGCAGGCACAGGAATCTAACAAGCAGCAGGCACAGGAATATAACGAGCAGCAGGCAGAGGAATATAACGAGCAGCAGGCACAGGAATATAACGAGCAGCAGGCACAGGAATCTAACGAGCAGCAGGCACAGGAATCTAACGAGCAGCAGGCACAGGAATATAACGAGCAGCAGGCACAGGAATATAACGAGCAGCAGGCACAGGAATATAACGAGCAGCAGGCACAGGAATATAACGAGCAGCAGGCACAGGAATCTAACGAGCAGCAGGCACAGGAATCTAACGAGCAGCAGGCACAGGAATATAACGAGCAGCAGGCACAGGAATCTAACGAGCAGCAGGCACAGGAATATAACGAGCAGCAGGCACAGGAATCTAACGAGCAGCAGGCACAGGAATCTAACGAGCAGCAGGCACAGGAATATAACGAGCAGCAGGCACAGGAATATAACGAGCAGCAGGCACAGGAATATAACGAGCAGCAGGCACAGGAATATAACGAGCAGCAGGCACAGGAATATAACGAGCAGCAGGCACAGGAATATAACGAGCAGCAGGCACAGGAATCTAACGAGCAGCAGGCACAGGAATATAACGAGCAGCAGGCACAGGAATATAACCAGCAGCAGGCACAGGAATATAACGAGCAGCAGGCACAGGAATCTAACGAGCAGCAGGCACAGGAATCTAACGAGCAGCAGGCACAGGAATATAACGAGCAGCAGGCACAGGAATATAACGAGCAGCAGGCACAGGAATATAACGAGCAGCAGGCACAGGAATATAACGAGCAGCAGGCACAGGAATATAACGAGCAGCAGGCACAGGAATATAACGAGCAGCAGGCACAGGAATATAACGAGCAGCAGGCACAGGAATCTAACGAGCAGCAGGCACAGGAATATAACGAGCAGCAGGCACAGGAATATAACGAGCAGCAGGCACAGGAATATAACGAGCAGCAGGCACAGGAATCTAACGAGCAGCAGGCACAGGACTCTAACGAGCAGCAGGCACAGGAATATAACGAGCAGCAGGCACAGGAATATAACGAGCAGCAGGCACAGGAATATAACGAGCAGCAGGCACAGGAATATAACGAGCAGCAGGCACAGGAATATAACGAGCAGCAGGCACAGGAATATAACGAGCAGCAGGCACAGGAATATAACGAGCAGCAGGCACAGGAATCTAACGAGCAGCAGGCACAGGAATATAACGAGCAGCAGGCACAGGAATATAACGAGCAGCAGGCACAGGAATATAACGAGCAGCAGGCACAGGAATCTAACGAGCAGCAGGCACAGGAATCTAACGAGCAGCAGGCACAGGAATATAACGAGCAGCAGGCACAGGAATATAACGAGCAGCAGGCACAGGAATCTAACGAGCAGCAGGCACAGGAATATAACGAGCAGCAGGCACAGGAATATAACGAGCAGCAGGCACAGGAATATAACGAGCAGCAGGCACAGGAATATAACGAGCAGCAGGCACAGGAATCTAACGAGCAGCAGGCACAGGAATATAACGAGCAGCAGGCACAGGAATATAACGAGCAGCAGGCACAGGAATATAACGAGCAGCAGGCACAGGAATATAACGAGCAGCAGGCACAGGAATCTAACGAGCAGCAGGCACAGGAATATAACGAGCAGCAGGCACAGGAATATAACGAGCAGCAGGCACAGGAATACAACGAGCAGCAGGCACAGGAATATAACGAGCAGCAGGCACAGGAATATAACGAGCAGCAGGCACAGGAATCTAACGAGCAGCAGGCACAGGAATATAACGAGCAGCAGGCAGAGGAATCTAACGAGCAGCAGGCACAGGAATATAACGAGCAGCAGGCACAGGAATATAACGAGCAGCAGGCACAGGAATATAACGAGCAACAGGCACAGGAATATAACGAGCAGCAGGCACAGGAATATAACGAGCAGCAGGCACAGGAATATAACGAGCAGCAGGCACAGGAATATAACGAGCAGCAGGCACAGGAATATAACGAGCAGCAGGCACAGGAATATAACGAGCAGCAGGCACAGGAATATAACGAGCAGCAGGCACAGGAATATAACGAGCAGCAGGCACAGGAATCTAACGAGCAGCAGGCACAGGAATCTAATGAGGAATATAACGAGCAGCAGGCACAGGAATATAACGAGCAGCAGGCACAGGAATATAACGAGCAGCAGGCACAGGAATCTAACAAGCAGCAGGCACAGGAATATAACGAGCAGCAGGCAGAGGAATATAACGAGCAGCAGGCACAGGAATATAACGAGCAGCAGGCACAGGAATCTAACGAGCAGCAGGCACAGGAATCTAACGAGCAGCAGGCACAGGAATATAACGAGCAGCAGGCACAGGAATATAACGAGCAGCAGGCACAGGAATATAACGAGCAGCAGGCACAGGAATATAACGAGCAGCAGGCACAGGAATCTAACGAGCAGCAGGCACAGGAATCTAACGAGCAGCAGGCACAGGAATATAACGAGCAGCAGGCACAGGAATCTAACGAGCAGCAGGCACAGGAATATAACGAGCAGCAGGCACAGGAATATAACGAGCAGCAGGCACAGGAATATAACGAGCAGCAGGCACAGGAATCTAACGAGCAGCAGGCACAGGAATCTAACGAGCAGCAGGCACAGGAATATAACGAGCAGCAGGCACAGGAATATAACGAGCAGCAGGCACAGGAATATAACGAGCAGCAGGCACAGGAATCTAACGAGCAGCAGGCACAGGAATATAACGAGCAGCAGGCACAGGAATATAACGAGCAGCAGGCACAGGAATATAACGAGCAGCAGGCACAGGAATATAACGAGCAGCAGGCACAGGAATATAACGAGCAGCAGGCACAGGAATATAACGAGCAGCAGGCACAGGAATATAACGAGCAGCAGGCACAGGAATATAACGAGCAGCAGGCACAGGAATATAACGAGCAGCAGGCACAGGAATATAACGAGCAGCAGGCACAGGAATCTAACGAGCAGCAGGCACAAGAATCTAATGAGGAATATAACGAGCAGCAGGCACAGGAATATAACGAGCAGCAGGCACAGGAATATAACGAGCAGCAGGCACAGGAATCTAACAAGGAGCAGGCACAGGAATATAACGAGCAGCAGGCAGAGGAATATAACGAGCAGCAGGCACAGGAATATAACGAGCAGCAGGCACAGGAATCTAACGAGCAGCAGGCACAGGACTCTAACGAGCAGCAGGCACAGGAATATAACGAGCAGCAGGCACAGGAATATAACGAGCAGCAGGCACAGGAATATAACGAGCAGCAGGCACAGGAATATAACGAGCAGCAGGCACAGGAATATAACGAGCAGCAGGCACAGGAATATAACGAGCAGCAGGCACAGGAATATAACGAGCAGCAGGCACAGGAATCTAACGAGCAGCAGGCACAGGAATATAACGAGCAGCAGGCACAGGAATATAACGAGCAGCAGGCACAGGAATATAACGAGCAGCAGGCACAGGAATCTAACGAGCAGCAGGCACAGGAATCTAACGAGCAGCAGGCACAGGAATATAACGAGCAGCAGGCACAGGAATATAACGAGCAGCAGGCACAGGAATCTAACGAGCAGCAGGCACAGGAATATAACGAGCAGCAGGCACAGGAATATAACGAGCAGCAGGCACAGGAATATAACGAGCAGCAGGCACAGGAATATAACGAGCAGCAGGCACAGGAATCTAACGAGCAGCAGGCACAGGAATATAACGAGCAGCAGGCACAGGAATATAACGAGCAGCAGGCACAGGAATATAACGAGCAGCAGGCACAGGAATATAACGAGCAGCAGGCACAGGAATCTAACGAGCAGCAGGCACAGGAATATAACGAGCAGCAGGCACAGGAATATAACGAGCAGCAGGCACAGGAATACAACGAGCAGCAGGCACAGGAATATAACGAGCAGCAGGCACAGGAATATAACGAGCAGCAGGCACAGGAATCTAACGAGCAGCAGGCACAGGAATATAACGAGCAGCAGGCAGAGGAATCTAACGAGCAGCAGGCACAGGAATATAACGAGCAGCAGGCACAGGAATATAACGAGCAGCAGGCACAGGAATATAACGAGCAGCAGGCACAGGAATATAACGAGCAGCAGGCACAGGAATATAACGAGCAGCAGGCACAGGAATATAACGAGCAGCAGGCACAGGAATATAACGAGCAGCAGGCACAGGAATATAACGAGCAGCAGGCACAGGAATATAACGAGCAGCAGGCACAGGAATATAACGAGCAGCAGGCACAGGAATATAACGAGCAGCAGGCACAGGAATCTAACGAGCAGCAGGCACAGGAATCTAATGAGGAATATAACGAGCAGCAGGCACAGGAATATAACGAGCAGCAGGCACAGGAATATAACGAGCAGCAGGCACAGGAATCTAACAAGCAGCAGGCACAGGAATATAACGAGCAGCAGGCAGAGGAATATAACGAGCAGCAGGCACAGGAATATAACGAGCAGCAGGCACAGGAATCTAACGAGCAGCAGGCACAGGAATCTAACGAGCAGCAGGCACAGGAATATAACGAGCAGCAGGCACAGGAATATAACGAGCAGCAGGCACAGGAATATAACGAGCAGCAGGCACAGGAATATAACGAGCAGCAGGCACAGGAATCTAACGAGCAGCAGGCACAGGAATCTAACGAGCAGCAGGCACAGGAATATAACGAGCAGCAGGCACAGGAATCTAACGAGCAGCAGGCACAGGAATATAACGAGCAGCAGGCACAGGAATATAACGAGCAGCAGGCACAGGAATATAACGAGCAGCAGGCACAGGAATCTAACGAGCAGCAGGCACAGGAATCTAACGAGCAGCAGGCACAGGAATATAACGAGCAGCAGGCACAGGAATATAACGAGCAGCAGGCACAGGAATATAACGAGCAGCAGGCACAGGAATCTAACGAGCAGCAGGCACAGGAATATAACGAGCAGCAGGCACAGGAATATAACGAGCAGCAGGCACAGGAATATAACGAGCAGCAGGCACAGGAATATAACGAGCAGCAGGCACAGGAATATAACGAGCAGCAGGCACAGGAATATAACGAGCAGCAGGCACAGGAATATAACGAGCAGCAGGCACAGGAATATAACGAGCAGCAGGCACAGGAATATAACGAGCAGCAGGCACAGGAATATAACGAGCAGCAGGCACAGGAATATAACGAGCAGCAGGCACAGGAATATAACGAGCAGCAGGCACAGGAATCTAACGAGCAGCAGGCACAGGAATCTAATGAGGAATATAACGAGCAGCAGGCACAGGAATATAACGAGCAGCAGGCACAGGAATATAACGAGCAGCAGGCACAGGAATATAACAAGCAGCAGGCACAGGAATATAACGAGCAGCAGGCAGAGGAATATAACGAGCAGCAGGCACAGGAATATAACGAGCAGCAGGCACAGGAATCTAACGAGCAGCAGGCACAGGAATCTAACGAGCAGCAGGCACAGGAATATAACGAGCAGCAGGCACAGGAATATAACGAGCAGCAGGCACAGGAATATAACGAGCAGCAGGCACAGGAATATAACGAGCAGCAGGCACAGGAATCTAACGAGCAGCAGGCACAGGAATCTAACGAGCAGCAGGCACAGGAATATAACGAGCAGCAGGCACAGGAATCTAACGAGCAGCAGGCACAGGAATATAACGAGCAGCAGGCACAGGAATCTAACGAGCAGCAGGCACAGGAATATAACGAGCAGCAGGCACAGGAATATAACGAACGAGCAGCAGGCACAGGAATATAACGAGCAGCAGGCACAGGAATATAACGAGCAGCAGGCACAGGAATATAACGAGCAGCAGGCACAGGAATATAACGAGCAGCAGGCACAGGAATATAACGAGCAGCAGGCACAGGAATCTAACGAGCAGCAGGCACAGGAATATAACGAGCAGCAGGCACAGGAATATAACCAGCAGCAGGCACAGGAATATAACGAGCAGCAGGCACAGGAATCTAACGAGCAGCAGGCACAGGAATCTAACGAGCAGCAGGCACAGGAATATAACGAGCAGCAGGCACAGGAATATAACGAGCAGCAGGCACAGGAATATAACGAGCAGCAGGCACAGGAATATAACGAGCAGCAGGCACAGGAATATAACGAGCAGCAGGCACAGGAATATAACGAGCAGCAGGCACAGGAATCTAACGAGCAGCAGGCACAGGAATCTAACGAGCAGCAGGCACAGGAATATAACGAGCAGCAGGCACAGGAATATAACGAGCAGCAGGCACAGGAATATAACGAGCAGCAGGCACAGGAATCTAACGAGCAGCAGGCACAGGAATCTAACGAGCAGCAGGCACAGGAATATAACGAGCAGCAGGCACAGGAATATAACGAGCAGCAGGCACAGGAATCTAACGAGCAGCAGGCACAGGAATATAACGAGCAGCAGGCACAGGAATATAACGAGCAGCAGGCACAGGAATATAACGAGCAGCAGGCACAGGAATCTAACAAGCAGCAGGCACAGGAATATAACGAGCAGCAGGCACAGGAATATAACGAGCAGCAGGCACAGGAATATAACGAGCAGCAGGCACAGGAATCTAACGAGCAGCAGGCACAGGAATATAACGAGCAGCAGGCACAGGAATATAACGAGCAGCAGGCACAGGAATCTAACGAGCAGCAGGCACAGGAATATAACGAGCAGCAGACACAGGAATATAACGAGCAGCAGGCACAGGAATATAACGAGCAGCAGGCACAGGAATCTAACGAGCAGCAGGCACAGGAATCTAACGAGCAGCAGGCACAGGAATATAACGAGCAGCAGGCACAGGAATATAACGAGCAGTAGGCACAGGAATATAACGAGCAGCAGGCACAGGAATATAACGAGCAGCAGGCACAGGAATCTAACGAGCAGCAGGCACAGGAATCTAACGAGCAGCAGGCACAGGAATATAACGAGCAGCAGGCACAGGAATCTAACGAGCAGCAGGCACAGGAATATAACGAGCAGCAGGCACAGGAATCTAACGAGCAGCAGGCACAGGAATATAACGAGCAGCAGGCACAGGAATCTAACGAGCAGCAGGCACAGGAATCTAACGAGCAGCAGGCACAGGAATCTAACGAGCAGCAGGCACAGGAATATAACGAGCAGCAGGCACAGGAATCTAACGAGCAGCAGGCACAGGAATATAACGAGCAGCAGGCACAGGAATCTAACGAGCAGCAGGCACAGGAATATAACGAGCAGCAGGCACAGGAATCTAACGAGCAGCAGGCACAGGAATCTAACGAGCAGCAGGCACAGGAATCTCAGAACATACCAAAGAATAAGGATTCTGGCCTCACTGATTGGTGATGGAACAAGCCATGCCAATTCTGCCACAGAGATACATAACCTGACTCCATTCACACCGCACCGCACCGCCGCGCACACATTTACCAAAGATGTGGTGTGGTGCTCACCGGTACCAAAGGGTGATGACGCGGTTGGTGAGCTGGCCGCTGGCCTCGCTGTTGAAGGAGCGCGCGAGGCCGAAGTCAGCGAGCTTGAGCACACCCTTGTTGTTGATGAGCAGGTTGGACCCTGGCAAGTGGGCAGGGCGGAACAAAAAGGCATGACAGCAGGCCAGCACGGCGAGACACGAGGCCGGAATGAGGATGGCAAACGACACGGGTACAGCACACAAAGGCCAAGTCTCAAAGCTCAAGAGGGGGGTGCGTGGGAGGGTGGAAGGGTGGCAGGTGAGTGAGTGGGTGACCTTTGATGTCGCGGTGCAGCACGGAGTTGATGTGGCAGAAGTGCAGCCCCGTGAGCAGCTGCTTCATGTAGCACTGCCCGTGTCGTGATTGGGCACACACGCATTCAAAATCACACGGTCAGGGTGTGCAGAGCAGGGCAAAAGCGAATGAGAACAGTGATGCATCTGAAAGTCTCTCTAACAGTCAAGAACGACATGGACGATGGTCACAAAACGGGAAACAGTAATATATATTTCACAATGCTACATTCATATATATTTCTAAAGCAGCACTCTCCTTCATCGTTAGCGCGTTTGTACTGTGACTCGTGCCTCTCACCTTCATCTATGCCCCTCACCTGGACTGGAACCTGCAGCACGTACGTTGCTTCATCTGTGCGGCGCTCACCTTGATCTGGGGCACGGAGAAGCGCATGCCAGGGCGGTCGGAGAGGCCGGTGAGGTCATGGTCCATGTACTCAAACACCATGTAGATGCTGCCCTTGAACTTGTTGCTCTCCTCCGCTGCCCATGCACGCATGCATGCACCATAACGCGAGTCACCAATGCGAGCCATGATCAAATGAACACGTGAGAAGCATGGCACGGGCAAAACCTTACCACATGCACCCAGGCATTGAGGACTCGAAAGTACTTGGCCGGGTTTGCAATCTGTACTTGAGAAACGGGTCAAATAGCAACTCCAAGAGCACTGAACTAAGCACACCCGCTGTTTGCCCATTCTAGCCTTGTTCACTCTCCCGCTCATCACACCTGGCAGGCAATGGGTTCATGATGCAGGTGGGCTGAGTGCAGCAATGGACAGGCAGCACAGCACAGCACAGCACAGCACAGCACAGCACAGCACAGCACCGCACAGCACCGCACAGCACAGCACAGCACAGCACAGCACAGCACAGCACCGCACCGCACCGCACAGCACAGCACAGCACAGCACCGCACCGCACCGCACCGCACCGCACAGCACAGCACAGCACAGCACAGCACAGCACAGCACCGCACCGCACCGCACCGCACCGCACCGCACAGCACAGCACAGCACAGCACAGCACCGCACAGCACCGCACAGCACAGCACAGCACAGCACAGCACAGCACAGCACCGCACAGCACCGCACCGCACAGCACAGCACAGCACCGCACAGCACCGCACAGCACCGCACAGCACCGCACAGCACCGCACAGCACAGCACAGCACCGCACCGCACCGCACAGCACAGCACCGCACCGCACCGCACCGCACAGCACCGCACCGCACCGCACCGCACCGCACAGCACAGCACAGCACAGCACCGCGCACAGCACAGCACAGCACAGCACCGCACAGCACCGCACAGCACCGCACAGCACAGCACCGCACAGCACAGCACAGCACAGCACAGCACCGCACCGCACCGCACCGCACAGCACAGCACAGCACCGCACAGCACCGCACCGCACCACACAGCACAGCACAGCACAGCACAGCACAGCACAGCACCGCACTGCACCGCACCGCACCGCACAGCACAGCACAGCACCGCACCGCACCGCACCGCACCGCACCGCACCGCACAGCACAGCACAGCACAGCACCGCACCGCACCGCACCGCACCGCACAGCACAGCACAGCACAGCACAGCACCGCACAGCACAGCACAGCACTGCACAGCACCGCACCGCACCGCACCGCACCGCACAGCACAGCACAGCACAGCACAGCACAGCGCAGCGCAGCACAGCACAGCACAGCGCAGCGCAATACCGCACAGCACAGCACAGCACAGCACAGCACAGCACAGCACAGCACAGCACAGCACAGCACAGCACCGCACCGCACCGCACAGCACAGCACAGCACAGCACCGCACCGCACCGCACCGCACCGCACAGCACAGCACAGCACAGCACAGCACAGCACAGCTATGTGACGGAAGACGCAAGACGCGTCTTGCGTCTAGCGTCTAGACGCTAGACGCTAGACGCGTGTTTAGACGCTAGACGCTTGGGAGGAAATTCTTCGGTCAGCCCGAAAAAAAAAAAATCCCGACGCCGAAATTGAATTTCGCGATTTTGATGCGAAATTCAATTTCGCGACATTTGCACCCCCTCCCACCCATTTCGACCTAAGAAACAGGCCCCTCATGCAAAGTTGAAATTCCTTCAACCAAAATTGAACACACACCTCTCTCAACCGCATAGCATCTAGAAAACCCAACCTTGATGGCAAACCACCAAGAGCTTGGGAAGCACAAATCCCCCATTTGTGCTTCCCATCTTTCACTTCTACCAGATTCTCTTTCAAAAACCCTTTAGGGTTTAGCTACTTCCCTCTCGAAACCATGTCGTCTCCTAGTTCGTCGTCTAGTTCCGCCTCCTCGCATGACGATGCCGTGGGGGAGGGTTCTTCCGCTCATGTTTCCAAGGAAATGGAAGGAGTTGCGAAGAAGAAAAAGTATCCCGAACACCCGATCTACAAGCATTACTACTATTTTACGGATCCAAAGAAAAAGGGCGACCAAGTGGAGTGTGAGTTTTGCGGCAAGAAGCTTTCTTGGAGTAGTAGCCGTTGCCCCGAGCACCTTGCCAAGTGACACGATCCACAACGCCGACGCGAGGCGGGAGTCGTTTGCAAGGATGTGCCGATGGAGGATTCGAAGGAGATCCGCGAGATGTTCGAAGCGAAGGTTCGAGCGCGCAACCAAAAGGCGAAGGCGACGGATGCGGCGCTCGTTGCGGTGAGCGGCCAGAGCGCGGCGGGAGAGAAGGCGAGGAAGCGCGGGCGCATGGACGATTTCTACGGCGAGGGTGGCGTGGCGGCAAAGAAGGCGGCCGACGAATCGGTTGTCCTCTACCTCGCGGGGACGCGTACATCGGAGCGCCAGTGCGAGCACCCGCTCTTCCTCAACATGTTGCGCGCCATCGCCGTCGCCGGCCAGGGATATGTTTCCCCCAAGCGGCACTACGTCGGGGGCGCCGGCCTGCAAGACTGCAAACAGCGGATCGAGAAGGCGTTGTCGCCCGTTACGAAGTCGTGGAGGGAGACGGGCGTGACGATCTCCAGCGACATGATGCAGGACACGAGCGGACGCGCGCAGATGAACGTCATATGCATCAACGACACTGGAGCTGTCTTCGTTGAGGCGGTTGACTGCAAGGCTGCGACGAAGAGTGGCTCGTTCATCGCTGGCGTCCTGCGGCCGATCATCGAGCGCATCGGGGCCGAGCACGTCGTCGCGCTGTGCACGGACGGCGGCAGCAACTACAAAGCTGCTGGCAAGCTGCTGCAGAAGGAGTGGCCACATCTCGACCTCGTTCCCTGCGCCACGCACGTGATGGATCTGCTGATGGAGGACATCGGCAAGATGGACTGGGCGCAGGTGATTGTGACTCAGGCCGACAACATCATCAACTTCGTGCGCAGTCACCAGTGGACGCGGGCGTTCCTACCTATGTTGAGAAAGACGCACGGAGGACGCACGGCGATTTTTTTTTCGGGCTGCTCGGAAAAAATCCTGATCGCGAAATTGACATTTGCGATTTCGACGCGAATGTCGAAATCGCGAAATTTCGACCCCCGCTTGCCCAAATCGCCATTGAAAGTGTGGAAGGTCCCCCCCCCCTCTTAGCTCAAACGCACTATTTCGTCACCCTTTGAGATAAACGTTACTTTAAAACGTTTAACTAACACTAAAACCTAAGTTTGAGAACAAGCTAGGTGAGATATGGCATCATGAGAAGCTAGGGGTGAGCTGAGCTTGCGCTAGAGCTTGCACAAAATGTCGCGCAACTCAAATTTGACCCCCACGACATTTGTCGGGGGGGTCAAATCCCCGCAAGAATGAGATCTGACGAAATTGACTCAAATTAGAACAAAAACCGCATTTCACCGCACTGAATCTAGAATTTCCAACCAGTCTATCAATTCCCATCCCAAGTCGACCAGATCTGGCCGCATTTGTTGGCCTGAGATATAGTCGACAGCGTAATCAACTTTTAGGGTTTTCTCGACTAGCTTAAAAGTAGATATGAGCAACGAACCGAACTTAGGTTCGGTTCGAGAAGTTCGGTTCGAGTTATCTCGAACCGAACTTCTTTTCCGCCAAAAAGGTTTGAGCAAACCTTGCTGAAGTTCGCGCGAACAGTTCGCGCGAACTTTTTCGGTTCGAGTTTCAAACCTCGAACCGAACAGGTTCGAAGTTCGAAAGGGTGAAATTCGAACCGCGAGGGGTTCGAATTTGATTCCCGCCAGAAAAAACCCATCGCGACTTTCCCGTCAAAAACGGGAAAGTCGTAGGTTGGCTGCCATTTGAAGGCAGCCAACCCTAGACTCGTAGCAGAGCAGAGTAGAGTTAGATCTAGATCAACTCTAGCTCACCCATGCTTCCCCACTACCGTACTTTCACCTCAGCTCCAACTTCAGATGTGTCAAACGTTAACTCGTTATGTTTGACAGATTAGTAATGCCTATTTATTTTCCAGAGAATAGGGTTAGCTTACCGTTTTTAAACACTTAGTCCAGTCCATTTTAAACCTCAAACCTGCTAAGGTTCGAGTTCGCTCAAACCTTTGAAGGTTTGAGCAAACCTTTACGGTTCGCCATTGTATTCTCAAACCTCAAACCTTAAAGTTCTGAAAAATGTTCGAGCAAACCAGTTTGGTTCGGTTCGAGCAACATGCAAGGTTCGAAAAGGTTTGCACAAACATGTTCGAGTTCGGTTCGTGCTCATATCTACTTAAAAGTAGAGCTGACGAAGCAAATTGTCGCAGGGGAAATAGGCAGGCCAGAACAGCCCGACCCGCCCCCGTGCTAATCCAGGGCCTATAACAATTTTTTTTGCCTGCCCGGGGGGTTTTTTTGCCCTGCCCGGGCTTGCGTCTTTTGGTGCGTCTTTCTGGTCCTGGTGCTGCGTCCTGCGTCTGGACGCATGCGTCCAGGACGCAGGACGCGTCTTTCGCAACATAGGTTCCTGCGGCTCCCGGAGATGCACGGCGAGAAGAAATCGCTGCAGGCCCTGCGCCCGGCAGGCACGCGCTTTGGAACGCAGTACATCGCAGTGTCTCGTCTGCGCGAGATTCGCCCCCAGCTGCAGGCGATGGTGGCGCACAAGGACTGGGCGGAGAAGGGGGGGGACGCGCTGACGGGAGCGGATTTCGAGGGGTGGGTGAGCGACCTGGCGTGGTGGAAGAAGGTGGACTTCTTCGTGCAGCTGATGGAGGTGTTCTACATCGTGATGCGGAGGACGGATTCAGCGGCGAAGGGGATGATGGGTCAGCTATACGACATCATGCTGCAGCTGACAGAGGAGTTGGATAAGCTGCTGGATGGGAGGGAGTGCAAGCTGAGCAGGGTGGATAAGGATAAGGTGAGGGAGCATTTGAGGAGGCGTTGGGACGAGAGCCTGGCATGCCCCCTCTACGTGGCAGGCCGGATCTTGAGCCCGGCCAACCAGGAGGAGGGCATCTTTCTGCAGGACCCGGAGTGCACCAAGGTCATGCAGGAGTGGCTGGAGCGCCAGCAGGTCTTCGTAGATACGTACTGGGGGAAGGCCCGCGGCAAGAAGGGGCCGGTGCGGCCGCTGCACGAGGCGGTGACGGCCTACATCAACGGCGATGGGAAGTTCGGCTCTGATACCGCGGCCAAGGGGCGTAAGGAGATTCAGCTGGGGAAGGAGAACGTGATGCTGTGGTGGCAGTACAATGGATGGGAGTACCTTGACCTGGCGCGTCTTGCGCGTCGCACGCTTTCCCAGACCGTTTCCGCTACCCCGTGCGAGCGTAACTGGTCTACCTGGGATGGAGTGCATACGGCGCGCAGGAACCGGCTCGGGTCGGAGAAGGTCCGCGACCTTGTGTACATCGCGCACAACATTCCAGTTGTGCGCGATGTCCACAAGGGTGCGGATGACGCAGGGCCTAGTGGGAAGGTGGGAAGGAAGGGGGGGGTGGTGGAGGGGACCATTACCCCCCCTCCCCTCCCCGAGGGGTACAAATTGGAGGAGGATGGGGAGGTGGAGAAGGATGAGGACGACGTGTGCATCGATGAGCGGGAGGGCCAGGAGGAGGAGGAGGACGAGGCGGAGGAGGAGGAGGAGGAGGAGGAGGAGGAGGAGGAGGAGGAGGAGGAGGAGGAGGAGGAGGAGGAGGATGAGGAGAAGGAGGAGAGGTTGGAGGAGGCCTAGTGATTGCAGTGATGTAGTAACTATGTATGATGAGAAATGAGGATTGTTGTGAACTCAAAATATGTGGAAAAAGTTTTGGTACAACAGAAATTTGACCCAAATGGGTCATATTTGCATGTCCCCCACCCTCCCCATGGCCCACGGAAGCTTTTTTAGGCTGCCCGAACCTTTTTTATTAGGCCTGCCCGGGTTTCCGTCTAATATGCGTCTGACCTACCCCTAAATGCGTCTAGCGTCTTAGACGCTGCGTCTAGACGCAACCGTCAAAGACGCTAGACGCGTCTTCCGTCACATAGCAGCACAGCACAATACAGCACAGCACAATACAGCACAGCACAGCACAATACAGCACAGCACAGCACAGCACAGCACAGCACAGCACAGCACAGCACAGCACAGCACCGCACAGCACACCTTTGGAGGTGACGATCTCCTTGAGGTTGACAATGTTCTCGTGCTTGAGCTTCTTCAATATCTTGATCTCGCGGATCGCTGTGATGGGGAACTGCATACCGCACCCATGGGAGGAGTGCAAGGGCGCAGATGGAAGGGCGCAGGTGGAAGGGCGCAGGTGGAAGGGCGCAGATGGAAGGGCGCAGGTGGAAGGGCGCAGGTGGAAGGGCGCAGATGGAAGGGCGCAGGTGGAAGGGCGCAGGTGGAAGGGCGCAGGTGGAAGGGCGCAGGTGGAAGGGCGCAGGTGGAAGGGCGCAGGTGGAAGGGCGCAGGTGGGAGGGCGCAGGTGGGAGGGCGCAGGTGGGAGGGCGCAGATGACTTCTTTATCAGCTCATAAGCCAAGCCACTGCGTATGCCTGTGGCGGAGGATGTGTGTGCTTGACAGGGGTGGTAGGACCTATGGTATGGAGCACAATGCATACACGCGCTAAAGCATATGGGGGACAACATGAGTGAGGTGAGGGGACAGGCAGTGTGGAATGAGATACGCAGAGCTCACATACAGTGAGCAATGAAGAGCAATAACAATCTACCAGAAACTCAGTTCGTTCAGGAATCTTGCTACCTGCAGGCAGCGACTCTCTCACTCGCGCCCTCCTTCTCCTTCCCGGCAGCAGCAGCACAGCACGTGGCAGCGCAACTCACCCCCTCCTTCTCGTTGTCCATGCGCACTTTCTTCAGCGCCACTATCTCGCCCGTGTTCTTTTCCCGCGCCATGTACACCTGCCTGCGGTGTCAGGGGTACAGAGCGGTGTGGAGGGGTAGTTAGGTATAGAGAGTTGGATGAATAGCTATCCCCCCGCCTTCAGTGTTCTTCTCCCGCGCCATGTGCACCTGTGTGCCTGCATGCGTGAGGTGCACAGGAAGCAGCAACAATCACGTGAATGCATGGTTGGTAGGCGACTTTTGAGTCGACTCAAGCGTTGGTTGCCTGCGGTGCGCATACAGCCCAATCTCGTCGTCTGCAGAGCGCAGTCTCCTGCGTGACAAGAGCCTGACCGATGATACATACCCCGTGGTACCTTACCCGCGTGCCCCTTTCATCCCCACGCCTGCGCGACCATCTGAGCACAACGCATGCGTGTCCCTCTCAGCGTCCTCGCGTCAGGGCAGCCACCGCTACTCATTCGCGGCTGGAATTTCGTCTATCTCGCTCCAGCGGACCCGCCGTTTAACTCTATCGATTTGAGGGTCCAAAGCTTTCCAACCCTTCACAACCGTCAGTTACCACGAAACTCGCCTTCGAGCTCGTCGCATCACTGGCAGGTCTCCTCGTTATCATTCGCAACCCTGGTATGAGCGCTCCCTTCCATAATCAACGCCACTGTCACTGTTCGCGTAACTCCTTCCAACGAAACGGTTCGTCCCAACTCCCCTCCGCTAACCCGCAGGCACAACTCCCCGCGCGCTCACCCGTAGGTGCCCTCGCCGATCTGCTCCAGCTTCTCGAACTCCCGTAGGGCCTACCTCACCTCCGCTAACCCGTACGTCCCATCTCTCCTCGCGCGTACCCGTAGGTGCCCTCGCCGATCTGCTCCAGCTTCTCAAACTCGTCGATGCTCCGCGACCCCCACGTGTGCGTGCCCTCCAGATTCAGCGTCCCCGGCGCCGCCATGCCCGCGAGCGACGGGGAGGTCTGCAACAAGTGCTAGAAGTGGTTCGCGCTGCACCGACTCTGGAGCGTGAAAAACGACAACGAATTACACTAAGGGTGATCACGTGGGAGAGAATTAGGCTGGAGAAAGACAACTAGCAGAAAGATCGTAAAAGAGACGGTCGAGAAGGAACTGAGGGTTTCAAGAGACGACACGTGCGACGATTTTCTCCCAACCCTAGGAAAGAGTTAGGCGGTGTTCAAGAAAGTAGGGTTTCAATCTGGTTTCGCTTTGAATTTCGGTTTCGCAAAGTCGGTTTCAGTTACAAAATACAGTTTTGCCACGAGGTGCGTTACGAAGCACACTTTGTAAGGAATTGCAATTCCTTACAGTACTCCCACTTTAGCGAGTACATTCCGAGGGTCACGCGACGAACCTGTTCGGCCTGTTTCGTCGGCCAAACCACCCCCGCGTCGCCTCCGCACCAATCGCAACCATCACCGAGCCATCTTCGCCGACCTCCCCGCCTAGCTAGCTTTTCCCCTGTTTAGGTCGCGTAACTTCTATTGTATGGGCATTCAGTAATCCAGATCCTCGTTATTCGTTATTCGTTATTCTGCACACTCTGCAGGTTCATTCGTAACATTTGGTATCAGAGCTACTTTCCTAGCCTACCCCACTTTTAGAGTATAATACCCCTCAGGGGGGGACGATGAAGAATGTCATTGGGTCCAGGAGTTGCGTAGGCCGGCCAGGAGAACGAGTTAGTTGCTCCTCGCTGCTATGTTTTTACGGGGCATTCCTTGGCACCGCCGGATCCTTGCCTTGAACGGTCGCGATCGACCTTGTCAGTAGAGCTACACTGTGAGATCCCCGATCGATCCTAGGGGGGGTTACAGGCGCGTTTGCCTGGGGGGTTATGGGCGCGATGACCCGCTACTGAAAAAAGCCCTTTTATCCCAATGGTCTAGTGGTTGGGATTGTGATATGGTATCAGAGCGGTCTCGGGTTCGAATCCCGGTGTATGCACATGTTGGCCGTTGCCACTGTGCTCAGTCCTGGGCCTCCCAGTGTGGGGGGGTGTCAGTAGAGCTACACTGCGAGATCCCCGATCGATCCTAGGGGGGGTTACAGGCGCGTTTGCCTGGGGGGTTATGGGCGCACTGACCCGCTACTGAAAAAAGCCCTTTTATCCCAATGGTCTAGTGGTTGGGATTCTGACAGACCTTGACCTCCCTCCCCGTGGGCAACGGGCAGCAGTAGCTGTCGCGACGTTTCTGTGAGTAATTTACACAGCGTTTTTTTCTGACGATTTTGGATAATAATTCGAGTGGCAGCTTACGTCAGCGGACATGCGTCGGCACCTGCATGAACAGCCTCGAAGTCGTCATCACGTGTGGCAGCTGGCGTCGGCGAATCTGCGTCCACAATTGCGCAAAAATATCGGAATCGTCCTTACGCGGTAGGTGACGACGGTGGCTCGCCGTCATCTTGTGCGCGAGATTCTTGGAAGGATCTTCGGCAGCTGGCGACAAGGTCTGCGTCAGTATGGGCGACATTTTCGGAGTTTTTTCAAGAAAACGACAGCTGGGAGAACTCGCCAGGCGCAAATGGAGTTTTTGCGTCTGAAAATGTCGGTGGCGAGGAGAGACGACACGACGATTGCCAGACTTAGCGGGGGTTAACTGCCGACCCGCCGGACCTACACAACGCCGAGCATACATCATGAGAGGAGCTGAAGTTGTTTTATGCGTATTGATAGAGGTGGTTGATCGCTCTGCAGAGGGGCCAAGCAAACGCTATCTGCACCAAGACCCTGTCTGTCTTTGAGGCCGAGGCACCCACGCCTGCCTTCAAGGACGAGGCCGTCGACACTGACGACTCCCTACAAGTTTTGGAGTCCAACTTCGAGCTTCCATAGGCCCCTACATTTGTAGGCATGTACTTGATGCTATACCATACCTTGATGTTATAATCAATGAAGGACCTTTGGAGAAGGATATACAATGTAGAGAAAGGAGGGGAGATGGCAGCAGACACATGTGGAAGTAATGCTTCAGCAGACACGCGTGCCTTTTGGTTTTTATAAGCAAAACTCAAGTTTTGGGTTGAACAGTATACATTCGAATCTAGGTTGACCTAGGCTCGAGTATATCCACACCTGTAACCCAAATTGCTGCTCCCACATTCTCGCGAATCACAAGACACACAAAAGTTCGACTATCGAAATTGAACTTTTTGCAACTTGGCCGAGTCGCGGCCAACCCTCGTAGGTTACCCGGTTTGGCATCTTGACAGGGCGCAAGTATGACTTCCACGACACGGTGACACGAGGGCTACAAATAGCGTGTCAAACCTACTATCAAAATGTTGTACTTGTCCAGCCTGCAGTGGGGTACTCTATAGCGAGTACAACCCAATTTAGGGTTTCCTATATGTACTCAACTGCCTGCAAGTGCAATCCTCTCTTTCTTGTTCTAACTTTCTGCTACTGATTCTTGACATGCTATCAGAGCAGTTACGCTCCTGGCCTGTGGGCCCACCGTTAGCTTCCGCTGCTGTCCTGTCTGTCGCGCGCCCCGCGGCGCGCGACGTTTTTTTCTTCCCGCCACGCGCTCGGGGCGCATGGCGGTTTTCTGCCCGTCGCGCGCTCAGGACGCGCGGCGGTTTTCTGCCCGCCGTGCGCCCCGAGGCGCGCGGCGGTTTCCTGCCCCGTCGACCAGCACGTTGCCCCCTGTCGCCCGTCGAAGCGCCCCCGGGGACCTGCGCGTCGCCCCCCGTCGCCCGTCGAAGCACCCCTGGGCCCCGCGCGCAGCCCGTACAGCCTGCGCGCGGCCCGTATGGCCTGCGCCAGGCCCAGGCGCGGCCCGTTCAGCCTGCTCCAGGTCCGCGCGTACCTGCCCTGCCGTGCGTGCACCCGCTCCCGCCCCATACTGCCTGTGTTAGGGTTTGGGGGTGGCAGGTATGGGGGTGACGGTTGTGTGAGGCCTCCCCTGCTCCTCCTCCTCCTCTGTCTCCCACTGCTGAAGCTGCCGCTGAGGGGGGTGGATGTGTGGGAGCCGTCGGAGTGGTACTAGGGGGGTGGAGTGTGAGCAGTGCTAGGGGAACAGCAGGGGGTGTGTGAAAGGGGTGTGGGACAGCTGGGGGAGGTTGAGTGGAGGCAGCCGTCTTGTCGTCCGCAGCGCCAGTAGTCCGGAGGCTACAATCTCCGGTAGTCGCCAGTCGCCCGTGGGTCAGTTGCTCCAGCCGCTCGGTGTAGCCGCGGAGCCTGTTACTCCTGAAGTCCGGGCCTTTGCTTCGGTAGCCACTGAGCCAGCTGCTACAGTGTGTCTGCAGCTTCAGCCGTCGCCTCCCATCTTCTCGCCTCCCATCTTCTCGCGAAGTGGTAGCAGGCGGAGGCGACGGCAAAGACATCAGCTCTGTCAACGGGAGTTGTGTTAGGTCCCGTCCTCGCTTGGGCGGAGCCGACTTTTGGGAAGCAGCCGACCTGTAGCTATGGGTGAGCTGGTCGACGAGGCTGGTCGATCTGCATGGGGCCATTGCATGGGCGACTTCTGGGCGCCGAGTTTGGGGGGTGGTCGACCTGGCGAGGTGGACCTGGCAGGGCGTCAACTTCAAAGCGCCGACCTTGGGTGGCCGACGACTGGGCAAAGTCGTCGGCCCAGTCCCACTGTGGTCGACGGAAGGAGGTCGACCAGGGGTGACGCCGACCTAGTGGTGTCGACCTGGTTGCTCGGTCAATCGGGATACCCTGGCGATGCACTTCCGCGGAGGCGTGCGACTGTCGCCGGGGTGGCTTCAGCAAGGCCGGCCTCGGGGGTGGTATCCCGTGGTCGACGTGGCTGGTGGGCGTAGTCGCTGGTGTGACTCTGCCAGGCGTCTGCGCTATGTACGTGACAAGGCGTGGTGCAGCAACCGGCCGTGTGCACTTGCGAAGCAGGTGCACCGTTGTCATGCGGGTGAAACGCTATGCAGGAGACTTGCTGTAGCATTAGCACAACGTGGATTTGCAACGTTGGCAAGCTGCTACTCTGCAGCGCTGGAACACGATCGACCGTGCTGTGCTTGCTAGCTCGGGCTCTAAACGGCAAGGGAGATCGTTCACGACCTGACATGCCCGTACACCCCGCAGCAGAACGGCATAGCGGAGCGGGAGATGCGAACGGTGGTGGAGTCAGTGCGAACGATGCTGCTCCATATAAGCATGCAGCACCACTGGTGGCACCTCGCTCTGCAGCATGCCGTCTGGGTCCGCAACTTCCTTGAGAGGTCAGCGCTGCCGCGGGGAAGAAGCCCGACTTGTCGTTGGCACGGGTGTGGGGCTGCATGGTGCAATTTTTGGTTCCTGAGCAGCAGCGCGGTGAGCTTGCTGATGAGGACGCCGAGTTCGTCCGTCCTCCTACCCCTTCTCCTGTCCCCCCTGTCCCACCCCCTGTCGCCGACCTGCGTCCGTTATCGGTGTCGGCCAGCGGCGATGGGGGGAGAAGTAGGGCGTCACCTGTGGCGCCGGGCCAGAGCATCGCCGGTGGCCGACGTGACGTCAGCAGGTCGGCGTGGGAGAAAAGTCGATGCTGATAGGGGAGGGGCGGGCCGAGCAGGTGCAGCCGAATTTGGTGAAGCCGGCAAAGGAGGCATCGGCAGGGGAGCCAGTGACAAGGGAGCAGGCAGCAGCGAAGCCGACCGAGGAACAGCAGTCAGCGACTGGGCAGTCTACAGGGGAGCTGACGACAGGGGAGAAGTCGGCAGAGAAGCCGACCGATGAACACCAGGACGTCGAGGGCAGCCCCGAGGGCAGCGAAGCTGGTGATGTTGGCAGGAGCAGCCGGTCACCGAGAAGTCCACTGACAGCGACGTGGTGGAGGTCCAGCCTGGACCAAGGCGTACAAGCCAGCTTCGGAGGCCGCCCGATTTCTTTGTAGCGCCCGCCTTCACCACGGTGAACGATTTGGTTGATGACTGTCTGTTGTACGACAACGCCGAGGAAGATAAAAACCTACCGGAGCTCGACCGCGACATGCAC